CAGGTGAGTGCACTGGTGAGTTTGCATTAAAAAAAAGCTCAATTTTGTGGTTTAGCCATGAATAATTTTAAGTGTTTTATTTATTATTAAATTTGCTGAAGTATCATAAGAAAATGAAATGATGATATAAAATTGCAAAAGTCTGCAGTAAGAAAATCCTTACTTTCTGATTACTGATATTTCTTTTTATTTGTACATAATGCAGTGTTTCATCACGTTACAAGATAAACAACAGTTAAAAGCACAAGCAGCATGATTCCAGCTAGAAACAAAACTATATCTACAGAGTGGTAAGAACACCAGGGTATGTTAGGAGTCTGCTTTCAGGTAAAACTATATCCAGAAGACTGAGCTATCCAATGGCTTTCTTGTATTCTTATCTTGTAGCCTTGTAAATCTCTCCATGTTATCCTTTAAGAGGGTTTAAAATAGTTTTGCTCAAGCATCAAAGAAAGCGGTAGGTAACCAAACGCAGGAGATATTTTAAATTCCCAGAGGTGAGCAGTTTATTTACAGTGATCCCTATGATATGCGGAAATTTGTTTGGGGGATTTTTTGGTTTAACTCATAAATGCATATGAAATGGAATTTAAATTGCACCAATATCAGTTTTTGTTCTGGCTTTTCTCAGCTTAAGACAAAATGGTGCCTTACAGTATGGATTAATCCTTCTTGTCTTTACTCATTGAGTGATGAGAGAAAATGAGCCTTTCCGAAACTGACAAATACAACTTGTTATTGCAATACTGTTGAGCTGAGGTTAGAATAAATTGCAGAAGAAGCAAAAAAGAAAGATGCAGCTGCATTTTATATCATTATTATGGCTAATGATCAATTACAAAAAAGCTGAACATGGCATTAGTTCAGGCAAACCAGGAAGTCAAGCTCAGCCCACGATCCCACTAAAATACCTCATGTTATCACTCACGTTTCACTTTATATTTACACACTGCAGCGTATAAACATTTAATAAAGAAAAAAACTGCTAAAAACACAAGCAGCATAGCTCCAGCCAGGAACAAAACTACATCTACAGAGTGGTAGGAATACCAGGGCATTCTGTAGGACTGTGCTTTCAGGTGAGCTGCTCCTTTGTGCCTCATGACAAACTCTATCCAGAAGAGGGCGTTATCCAGTGGCTTTACTGGCTTATCTCTGTGTAGCCTGGAAAGTCTCTGCATGTTCGCCCTGTACGAGGGATCACCCAGGACTTCCTCTATGGCTTTCAGGAAGTTGTTGTCTTTGTCCACTGTAGTTAATGTAAGTATCTTAGCGCCCCCCCTCTCTTTCAGACGTAGCAGGTTGTCATATTGATCAAAAAAAAAGGATATGCCCACAACTGGG